CCTTTTCTACACCATTTAAATTTAACTGCTCTTTGACAGGCAAAGGAGATAAATCTAAAGGTGTTGTTGGATTAAAACCATAAACAACTTCAAATGGAGAAAAAATTGGTGGAAGAGTGAATGGTGCGATTGTAAGCAAATTCAGCAATAGGCAAACATTCCTCCCAACTTTTCAAATTCTTTTTGATGATCGCTCTTAACAAAGTTCCCAATGTTCTATTCGTTACTTCAGTCTGCCCATCAGTTTGTGGGTGACTTGAAGTAGAAAATAACAACTTTGTTCCCAATTTTCCCCAAAGAGTTTTCCAAAAGTAGCTTAAGAACTTCACATCGCGATCAGAAACAATTGTTCTAGGGATACCATGCAAACGGACAATTTCTTTGAAAAACAACTCAGCCACGTGTTTTGCATCATCCGTCTTTTTACATGCAATGAAATGTGCCATTCTTGAAAATCGATCAACGATAAAAAAAATTGAGTCCATTCCTCTTTATTTTTTGGTAATCCAAGTATGAAATCCATGGAAATATCCGTCCACGGGCACTGAGGAATGGGAAGTGGAGTATACAAACCATGAGGAAGGGATCTTGATTTTGCCTTTTTGCATTCAAGGCAACCACCACAAATGCGTTCAACATCCTTTTTCATGTTAGGCCAATAAAAATGTTCCTTCAAAACACCTAGAGTTTTTGAAACYCCAAAATGGCCCATCAACCCTCCACTATGAGCTTCAYGAGTCAAAAGTTCACGAAGAGAGCATGAAGGAATGCACAATTTATTTTCTTTAAACAAAAATCCTTCATATCTAAAGAACTTGTTGAAAGATGACTTTTCACAAGCAGTAAACACATTGTCGAAAACACTATCAGATTCATACAATTCCTTGATGAATTCAAAACCCATGATTTTGGAATCCAAATGAGTGAGAAAAGTGTACCTTCTTGATAGTGCATCAGCCACTATGTTTTCTTTACCTTTCTTGTATCGCACAACATATGGAAATGTCTCTATGAAAGATATCCATTTGGCATGCCTTTTGTGCAAATTCCTTTGACCTTTCAAATACTTAAGATATTCGTGATCGGTGTGAATCACAAATTCCTTAGGCATAAGATAGTGTTGCCATGTCTCCAAAGCTCTAACAACAGCGTACAACTCCTTGTCGTATGTTGGATAGTTCAAAGTGGCCCCGTTTAACTTCTCACTGAAATACGCTACGGGTTGGTTTCCTTGAAGTAAAACAGCTCCAATTCCAATTCCTGAAGCATCACATTCAATTTCAAAAGTCTTAAGAGAAATCAGGCAGTGCTAAAACAGGAGCATTGGTTAAATCATGCTTTAATTGCTCAAAAGCCATTTGTTGTTTTTCTCCCCATTCAAACTTCACATTCTTTTTCACCAACTCGTTTAAAGGTGAAGCCTTTGTTGAAAAATCTTTAACAAACCTTCGGTAAAAACTTGCGAGCCCATGAAAAGATCTTACCTCTGAAAC